TTGACTTTTTCTAAGCTAGAGGTTCTTCATTAACGGAATGAACGCGCGCTAAAACAAATCCATTTATAGCAAACTTATAATGGATTTCAGGCTATTTATTTTAATAGAGAGAGAGAGAGAGAAAGGAATTACAAGATCTTATCGGGCTGAAACATTCAACTATGAGTTGGTGATTACAGGTTTACAAGTACAATTCCTTGTCCCACATGCAAGAAAGTGTTACCAAGTTTTTCGAGTTATAGCGTTCGGGCACAAAAAAACTCGGTGCTTCGGAGTAGGGAGCGGTCGCAATGAGAAATAATTGAGCGGTTGCAGTAGGGAGCTGCCTAATGTTTGAGATGGAGCACAGCTTCACAGGTTGTTACATGCTTCTGCGGGGTCGTTTGTTGCTTCACACGGTGTTTCACCGTCTTAAGGAGTAGGCAATAGCTAATGGTGGTCGGCAGAGGCTAGCGAACTACAGTTTGTGGCTACAATATACTGAAAGTAATAACCGGTTTGTCGGTGTTGAATAATGCGCTTCAACTCCTTCCTCTCTAGGCTCTAATTTTCCTTTAGGTCCAGTCCCCTTCTCATAAGCGGGTCGAGTTTTATTTATGGAGTTCATATTACAAATAAAGAAGAAATTTGGATTCCCTTGATAAAATGATATTCTTTTGAACTTTAACCGTCCTAGTGATGAGTGAATTAAGTGATCTTGAGCTCGTTGGATTAGTCATGTTGAGACGCTCAAATTGACTATCAACATATCATATTTGAAATCTATTTGATCTTCTAATTATGCATTGAAAGCTTCCAAAAGTAGTTTAACATACAACTTGATCTGAGTTTGATTTAACTTGAATTGGATCAATTTTGTATCATGGGCACGCCTCTTTAAGCCAATCATTTGAATAAGTTTCCTGACATCGGAATTTTGAATGACTTTTAATCAAGTTTTGAACGATTCTTGTTCAAAAAATTGCCTCAAGCTTCGTGTCACACCCTGAGGTTCGTGTCTTAAACTGGGGTAAGAATATAATTATACTATTATCCTCCCTTTATAAATAAGGAAAACATTTTATGAAGAATCAAAACTCTTGAGTACTATTCACTACGGTCCATCTCTGTCTCATTCTCTTTTTCTCTCTCTTTTTATTTATCCTCTATTTCTTAAGTGTGATTCACACACAATCTCGAATTCAACACAAATAAATTAGCCTTCGAGTATAAAGAATCGACATCATTCTTCTCTTTATTTTGAGCAATTAGAGTTGAACACAAATTTGCTTTATATTTTGATAATTTTCTAAAAAATAGTTTTGAGGATGAAATTGGACTATAGTTTTATATAATTGATGCATTTTTTTCTTAGGGAGAATTACACACATAGCACCCAAATCTTATAGATTTACAATTAAAATTAAAAAAATAATAATAAAGAAAATACATTTGTTTTTGCCATGGTATAAGTCTTCTTCTTCATTTACATGGTTTTCTTTTTTGAGAATAAGGAGTTGTTGAAAATGATTTTTTTTTTTGGCATTTTCATAAATACCACACAATTCCTATCAATTTACATATCTAACACCTAAACTTTCATATTCACATATATAACACTCAATTCTATAACAAAACGTCAAAAATATAACTACGTTGGATCCTAATTAGACTGTGGATTAACAGACCAATGACTACTCTTATGCGAAAGACTAGAAACCCAAAATATAAAAAAATTTTGAAGATTTGCATATATAATTAGATGCCATTCCATTCATATGTATTTACATATCTAACACCCAAACTTCAATTTTTACAAACATAACACCTTGCATATGCGTTAAAAGCTGTAGCTCAGCTTTAAATAGGTTTTTTAGATTTTAAATATATAGTATTATTATTCAATCAAAACACAAATGGGGATGTAGCTCAAATGGTAGAGCGCTCGCTTTGCATGCGAGAGGTACAGGGTTCGATCCCCTGCATCTCCATGATAAACCTTTTTTACTTCCTAAATCATTTTTTTGGGATGCTTTTTGTATTTTCAAAATATTAGCTATATATAAGCAGTGATTTGTTTATAAAAATTATATTAAAATCTCATAAAATGTTTTATTTTAAGTTGGAGCTTCACTTAACATATTTCGTTGATGCAGTTTTAAACAAATTTAACATTAATTTTTTAAAATAATGTTATATAAAATTAAATTAGGGGCATTATTATACATAGCACAAAATTTTAATTCACTTATTCCTAATATCAAAACTTTTCTTTTTAGGCGCCGTTTGGGGCAATTTATCCACAGCGGCGACATTTTGAAAACGCTGTCTCACCGTTTTGAAATTGCGATTAAACAGTTTATCCGAAAAAAAACTTTCTTTTTAGGCGCCGTTTGGGGCAATTTATCCACATTTTGAAAACGCCGTCTCACCGTTTTGAAATTGCGTTTGAACAGTTTATCCGAAAAAAAACAGTTGATTTTTTACACTTAACGTAGAACGAACTCCGCGATCCGCGTTTCAAGATAAGTGACTTATCTAGATAAACATAAGCTGTCCCGAACGCACTCTTACACATATAACAATTGTATCTTTAATATATGATTAAAAATAGCATTATTATTCTTTTTTTTAAGTGAAAAACATATTTAAAATTTAAAACATTATAGTATTATTTATATAAAAAAGAAAGTTGTGCTGCGCTCTCCGACCTGTTGGTCGCCATCCATGATATAAGTTCCTTAAGGTGAAGAATTCGAATCCTCTCAGACACAGTTGGCCTTGAAGATGTGATATCAAATTGTTAGACACATTAGAAGTGATAGGAGACCTGTATAATAACCTCTAGTCATTCTTTTCTTAATAAACATATATTAAGGAAAATTTAGATGTGAGTTATGCAAATATATGATAATTGTGTGCTATTCGCTATGTTTAGATATGATATAATTAAATTAACATCCCACACCCTTTATAAAAGTTAATGTAATCATTCTTGCATCTCCATAATATTATTTTCTTTTCTTTTACACCATTTAAAATATTTTTTTTGGGGGCAAGACTTCTACAATATACATAATTTAAATTAAATTACACATAATTATATGACAAATTAACTCGAATTTAAACAATACAAGCCAAACCCATCCCCTTATTGATTCCACCATTGCAATGGATCTAATCATTCAGATGTCGATCTCCCCAGCTGAGGTCGCCGAGTCGCCATCACTATCATCACTATCATCGCTGCTGCTGCCACTGCCGCTCCCACTCCCACCACT